CTTCAATAATACTTCCTCTGTGTTTGGATTTGATCTTCTCAATTGACTTTTCTTGTCAATTTTGTATACTTTAACCTTGATATAAAGAACAAACATTGTCTTTCGATAGAAATGCATTACCAATAACTTCTTTTTGAAACTAAGGAATCTCTTAATGTTTGGTCACTCCTATTTTTGGAGATCAAAAAAATACGCATTTTTATTTTGGTATTTTCTCCATGTTTATTCCTATTCTAGTACAAAGTATTTTTTCCAAAAACTTATAGCGACATTGTACATAAGACATACACTCCATATACAACTTAAATTGGATCTACCCATATTTTGATTAAAATTGCCACGTGATTCGATCGTTAATATGAGGCGGGTGATTTGTTAAAATGTTGCCATGTAGATTCGTCACTTGTCTCAATTCTAAGAGTTTAACTCTCAAATTTAATATATAAATATATATTGGCACTGTACTTTAAAGATAAAAATTTTGAAGCAGCGCCACACCGGGCTTCCCAGTGCTGAAGTTTTTTCGCACCGCACGCCGCGGCGCTCGCTCGAAGAGCGGCACAAAACCGCGTTGAAAACGTGGCGATTTTTCGCGGTGGCCGCCACTGCAAGCGGTCTGTTACGCTTGATTCTTTTTTTCTTCTTCCAATCTTCTTCCCATGAGGATTCTTGGCCGACTTTATTTTTTCTTCCAATCCATTTTGTTTTTGTACTTATTTTATTTCAATTTTATTTTTTTTAATTTCAATAGTTAATATTTAATTAATGTTAATATTTTTATTTATTTTTTAATTTTGGATTTATTACTTCTATTTTATTTATTATTATTTATCAGTTTTTATTAATAAATACTTGTATTATATAAGTTTTGAATTTATTAATAATTAATATAAATTTTAAATTAAAAATGACAAACATTGTAAAAGAAACCAAGAGACGAATTTACATGGCGAAATTATTTTACTCCCTCCGTCCACAAATAAACTTCCCGTTGCGCGTTACGATGTTTGACTGAAATTATTTTCAAATCATTTTATATGAAAAATGGTGTAAATCTTAAAAATAAAAATTACATATTAAAAAAATATATCAAAATATTTACAAAACTAGAGGTGGCATGACTATGTTATTTTATCAAATGAGTGACGAAAATAACCCAACAAAGTGAATAAAGTTTGACTTTGTGAATAATGAACAAAAAGTTTATTTGTAGACGAAAGGAGTAGAATTTTAGTACGGGGCAAAAAATTAATAGAATATTGATGTGACAAAAATTGGGACGAGGCGGAATTTAGGTCATTGTAAATCCTCTCATCATCATCGGGAAAAAATGGTTAATTGTCAACATTACATTTGATCTTATGCCAACCGTATTTGGGCTGGTTTGATGGGAAAGTATCCGGAAAGGAAAAATTGGGAAGACAGAGGGCGAAAAAGGGAAAAGAAAAGTGGAGAAACGCGGCCACACCCCCTGGCCCACTTCTTCATACCGCGTTGAACCGCCCGCCGCTTAACTTAACCCCGTCTGTTTCCGTCCCCATCATCCATCCAAACCCTGCGCTGCTCCGCCTATCTCCTCCTCCTCCTCCTCCGTCGGCACCTCCATTTTCTCTCTCTAAAAACCCAGCAAGCAAATGATCAAAACCGGCGGAAATTCCCCTCCGACGAAGTGAATTGCTCCTCCGTCTCGTCGCCTTCCGGGATCCCGAACCATGTCTTCCCGTTTTGCCCCTGCCCTTCATTCCAATCTGCCCTTCTCTTCTCCGATCTCTCACGCCTCTCTCTTGGGTGCAAACCACACCGCCGCCCGATTTTGCTCCCGATAAACCGCCTTTTATCAACATTCTTTCCCTGAACCCTAGCCATTCTTCTTCTTCTTCTTCAATCTCCTCATTATTCTTATTCTTTTCGTACAGAAACAATCCAGCCCGTAGATAGATACAGAAATAGTTTGTGTATTGGTAGATAATTTGAGATTGTTCGATATGGATCACGGGTCCGGGAAGCCGAGCTTCCTGAAGAATTTACTGGTGCGCCTCTTCTTGTTCTGCGTCGTCGTCATCGGCATCCGGTTTGCCTATGTTGTGACTCTCCGCGGCGAGTCTTGTGACCTCGGCAACTTCTGCTTCTTCTCTCTGCCGGAAAGCGTCAACATCGTCTCCGCCACCCAGCTTTCTAAACCGTCATCGGCGGCGGTTATGTCTAGCGAGGCCGTCGGGAATTTGGCTCCCGCTAAACCTAAGCAACCCGATCTCTGGGCCTCCAAGGATTTCCAGAAGGCCGCCAAGTTCTACTCGTCTGTGTTTCAAGATCTGATTGCGGATGGATATTTGAACCCTTATTGGAAGGCCCTATGTGTGGATACAGAACAAGGTTCGGATGTTTTTGCCCTGAAAGAGATCGGTGTCTCTGACTCCATTGGAATCTTCAAGAAACCATCTAAGCCTTTGGTGGTGTCTGGTCAGGCTATGAAGCAGCCGTTTGATGACCACTCCTTTGATTTTGTCTTTTCCCGTGCCGGAATGATCGATAAGTCGGCGAACCCTGCAGGCTTTGCCTCTGAGATTTGCAGGACTTTGAAGCCCGAAGGGTTTCTAGTGCTCCATACAGGTTCCAAGGATACATATAGTTTCAATTCTTTGATTGGTTTGTTTAACTGTTGTAAATTGGTCAAGTACATAGATATTCATGGGTTTGATTCTAAAATGCCGTCTATCCGCGAAATTGTTTTGCAAAAAGAGTATGGAATTGCTTCACCAAATGCCAGTTTGGGCGAGAAATGCTCTGTTCCAGATTACAAGCTGCAATTGATCCGAAAAGCTGAGCCGTTGATCATGGAGGAACCCAAGAAACCATGGATTACTCTGAAGAGGAATATAGAAAATGTGAAGTACTTGTCTTCAATGGCTGACATCAAATTTAAGCAGAGATATGTATATGTTGATGTGGGATCAAGAAGCTACGGCTCAAGCATTGTGAGTTGGTTTAAGAAGCAGTATCCCAAACAGAACAGGACCTTTGACATTTACGCCATTGAGGCCGACAAGACTTTTCATGAGGGGTACAAATCCAAGAAAGGAGTGGTTTTGCTGCCTTATGCTGCTTGGGTGAGGAATGAGTCACTTTTCTTTGAGATTAACCAAACCCCCGGCGTCAAAGAAGTGGTGAAAGGTAGAGGAATGGGAAGAATTCAACCGGTTCAGTCATCTTCTACCTCCGGAAGTCATGTTGACAAGATACAAGCATTTGATTTTGCAGAATGGTTGAAGAACACTGTAACAGAGAGAGATTATGTGGTGATGAAGATGGACGTGGAAGGCACCGAGTTTGAGTTGATCCCAAGGTTGTTTGAGACAGGAGCCATTTGTCTGATTGATGAACTGTTTCTTGAATGCCATTACAATAGGTGGCAGAAATGCTGCCCTGGGGAGAGGAGTTCCAAGTATGAGAAAACCTACGAACAGTGCTTGGATCTTTTTACTTCTCTCAGAAAAAGCGGAGTTCTTGTTCATCAATGGTGGTGAAATCAAGACGGTGGTATCTAACAATTATGTTCTTCTATTACTGCCCGTTCGTTATCCCTCGAGTTTACCCATAAAAAATTGTTTTAGTACCAGACAGAGTACTTGTTTAGCTAATGTACTACTACCCTTTATTCATTTGTATCTATTGTTTCATTCTTGAATCTTCCAAAAAGAAATGACACCCATTGTTGCCTCAAGAGCTGCTCCATACATTTATCTGTGATTTACATATTCTTTGTCAGGCGTGTAGAAAAATAATCCCATTCAGTTTGCCTGTTCTCTTTGTTCTTGTGGGGATTGATAAATCTGCTTCAAATTGAGTTTTGTAACCTTAGAAACTCAATATGTGCTATTATTGCAGAGTGAATCTTTTTATGGAATTTACTTCTCAATGAAACTTCAGTATTGCATATTGTACTTGGGGTATGGTTCTCACAGACCCATTATGTTTGTGGGAGTTTATGGTTCTCACAGACCCATAATCTTTTACATTTATCAGATCAATTGGTTCAGTTTCTGTTTGAGCTTATTTTCGGATCTATTGTGAGTATATGTAAATACGTAGTATGTAACACGGAGTAATCCGCTTAGATCTCTTCAGATTTCAGCATAATGTGGGTCTCTACATTTTCAATTGGTCCAATTACACTTCGGTTCAAACACGGGTCGAGATATAATTAACTTGGGTATATATGTACGTCCACTGGGATACATAATGATTCGAATAGATTTTGGTTCGGATAAATATAAATTTGGATCGATACACTTTTAAGTTCTAACAACACACTTTTCATTTTTTTTTTTACATTTTTCTTAATTTCATGTAAACCTAAATTGTGAAACTCCTATGAATAGATATTAATTACAAAGTAATCAAGTTAATAACACCTATTCCGTAAATTTTCTAACACTATGTTTGGTTCAAGAAACTTAAAAATAAAAAGTAAAGAAAATGATGTGAAAAATAATTTTTCTTGTTTGGTTAGAGAGAAAAAGAAAAATGGAAGATAAAAAAGAAGAAAACAACATATTAAGACGAGGGAAAATAAAATTCTACTATTATAAGTGATTGAACCATACAAGAATAGAAATGGAGAGTTAATCTAGGGAAAACAAAAATGAATTAGAAAGAATATTAAAAAAAAGATGAAAAGTTTATTAACTAATAAGGCACATATAATGAATGAATGTATGATATAGAATTAAAATGGAAATAAAGAGAGATACTAAAAGTGGGATATCTTAAAAATGAAAGGAGGGGAGATAAATGAGGCATAAAGGTGTGTAGAATTCCAATACACAAGAGAGGGGGAGGAGGGAGTTGCCACTGTGGCATCAATCAAAACTCTTATCATTTCAGTGGCCATTTAATTATCATCAAACAATTAAATTAAACCCCCCCTCTTCTGAGTTTGATTCATTGGAGGATCATCCTGCTAATATATTCTGAATATTATTAAATCCCATTCCATCCCACACAAATCATGAATGTTTCCCTCTCCCCATGAGACAACATTCATGATTTGTCCACATTCTTCCCACCTGCTGCATACCACAAACCATCAAGAAACACCTCTTCTGCATCATTGGGTTCTTCTTGTCCACCCCCATTCCACCAAATCTGATCATTTTCGCCGCAACCGAATGATGAAATCGGGCGAGAAAACTCGGGGAAGGATTGCATGAGAATTGAAGAGAGGAGAGGGGGAAAAATGGGTGCTTGCTGTACCTGCCAAAGAGTTAAGAGTTATGATGGGTATGGAGTTGGAAATGTGGTGAACAACAGAGAGGAGAGGGAGGTTGAAGATGAACACGAAGGGATTGTTGGAAGAGGCGATTTCGGGGCACGGGTTAGGTTCCATGGCTCTTCTAGGTTTGTTTCCATGTATTCCCAACAAGGTAGAAAGGGTGTCAATCAAGATGCCATGACTGTGTGGGAGGTATGCACAATTTTCTTTTTTCATTTCATTTTCATGTGCAATATTCCATCCACATTGCATTCTCAACAAAAATTACCTTAGGTAGTGTTTGGCAACTAGCATTTCATTTCAATTCATGCATTTCAATTCCAAAATTTGAAATCTTGAATTTCAAATGACAAGAGGATGTGTATGGATTTCAAATTAAGCTTTGTTATGAATGTGAAAAATATGCCTCAAATCCAAATTCAAATTTTTAGAGTTTTTCAAACATGAAATTTGAGCCAAAACCTGAATTTGAAATTGAAATCCATGTTCCCAAACATACCATTAATGATTTTGGTAATATCATTACTATTGTAGCACTTTGGTGGAGAAAGAGGTTCGTATTTTTGTGGCGTGTTTGATGGGCACGGACCGTCCGGTCATAGGGTGGCGCATTACGTTCGCGACCGCTTACCATCAAAGCTTTCGCTGTCTTCAAAGGACGGCGATGGCATGGGGGGCGAGAATATAGAGAAAGATGTCCACGAGGTTCCACTGTTTTCCATATGGAAATCGCATTTCCTCAAGTCGTTTAGGGACATGGATGATGAACTCGAAGGGGAGGGAAGGATTGACAGCTACTGCAGCGGCACAACGGCGGTCACGTTAATTAAACAAGTATGATATGAATGAATGAATGACAAGATAACGTGGTCATAACCAAATTTCTAGTTTAACCTGAAACCGTTAAACGTACGTAATAGGGTGAACATTTGGTGATTGGGAATCTAGGGGACTCTCGTGCTGTCATGTGCACCAGAGATGACACGGATCAGCTTGTCCCAGAACAACTCACCGTCGACTTGAAGCCTAATCTTCCAAGTAAGATTTTCATACTTTTGGGTTCGGTTTGAAGTTTGATTAGGGAAGAAAATAAACCAGGAATATATTGTTTCAATTCTATCAATTAAGAATAGCACTTGAAAGAGTAAATGGCTATTTGTATATCAGGTGAATCAGAACGCATTAAAGACTGTCAAGGAAGGGTGATGGCAACAGAAGAAGAACCAAATGTGTTTAGGGTGTGGATGCCCGATCAGGATTGTCCCGGTCTTGCCATGGCTCGAGCCTTCGGAGACTTCTGCTTGAAAGACTTTGGCCTCATCTCCACTCCAGAGACTTACTATCGAAAAATCTCTGACCGAGACGAATTCGTTGTTCTAGCCACCGACGGGGTGAGCTTATATAAATGTCGTATCAAGACTTGTGAATCTGTCAAGAACCAATTTAACCAAAAACTCAAGCTTATAGTTGTAAGGTTTCATAAAAGTCGTTTATGACTTTTTTTTTTTTTGCGCATTGTTTAGGTGTGGGACGTCCTAAGCAACTACGAGGTGATCAGAACGGTGGCTTCGGTGAGGAAGCGGTCAATGGCGGCGCGTGTGCTGGTAGAGCGGGCGGTTCGGGCATGGAAGCACAAGTACCCGTGCTCCAAGGTCGACGATTGTGCGGTCATATGTTTGTTCTTCAAACGCCCGAGACCAACGCTGACCAAATCCGTGTCTGAGGTGACCCAGCTCAGCATGAGCTTCCCGCAACACGGAGGTTGTGGTACCGATAACTCCCCCATCACGGCCCACACGGACGATGGCCTCGACACACTCCTAAACTATAAGGTTGACAATGAAGAGGGGGATGAAGTGGCCGGCCGCGGTGGTGCTGGAGGAGGAGGCGGCGAGGAATGCCAATGCCGACACAGAGCTCGGAACCGTCCGACCCCGACCCAAAATTTTGACTAGTGTGTCTTTTGTATGTATCCATAAATCTTCTACATTTTTTGTTTTGTTGAAAGAAGAATTGAAAAAGTTTGAAATCCAAATGTAGATGCAATGCCAAAAGGTGGTGGTGGTGGTAAAATCAAGAAAACCATGCAAGTTTTCAAGAACTAAACAACGTTAACTTCTTCTAGTCCTTGATCTTATTCTAGAGATCGGTCACACAATTAACCTTTATTACAGAGGCAAGTGACTTTGCCTGTTATTTATTCCAAAGATGGAACACTAAAGAGAACCTAATCTTCATGATCCCACAAATCTGCAACACTCCGGAAAGGGCCACAAGTATTGTTGACAAAAAGGTCTTCCCCGTCAAGCACACGTCTCTACACATATCACCAAATAAAAGTAGTCACCATAATTAGTTAGTTCTTCCACTTCGTATTAACTGTCTAATAAGACATTTTTGGTACACTGAAAGATGAATGAATTTAGGCAAAAAGTGTGTCTACATTTACTCCCTTTTTAATATATCAAGAATGTCATATTAGATAGTTTATATCAGATGATGATAGTAGTAAATACTAAATAGTACTCCCTCCGTCCTTTAAAATTTTTCTTCTTTTTTTATTTGTCCCTAAAAAAATTCTACTTTTTACTCTATATTAAATATGCAATTTTACTTCCCAATTCTTACCATACTTATCACATCATATTTATTCACTAATAATCTATCCAATAACATCTTACTTTTACCTATCACATAAAGAGTATTTTTGGAAAGTCAATATAAAAATATTTCTTCCTTGATCCATTAAAAATGAAAAGGGAAATGATTTTAAGGGACGGAGGGAGTTTTTTAAAAAAAGAAAGAGTTTTAGAGCCATTTTACCTGGTGCGGGATGCTAGAGAGAGCATCAAAATCTTGCTTGGGCAATTCCCATTCGAATACGGCTATGTTCTCTTTGATCCGGTCGTGGTGGTTTGATTTGGGAATGGTGCTTGTCCCTCTTTGGAGAGCCCACTTTATGAGAACTTGGCCCGGGCTTTTGTTCAGCTTCTTTGCGACCTTGTCCACCACTGGGTCATGAACCAGGTCACGCTCATTTGAACCTAGGGGTGAATATGCCTAAGAGCCACAAAAATGCACATATAACACAAATATTGATTCCAATTCAAATAAAAAATGTTCCAATAAAGAACGATAAGAATGGCCCACCTTGCTTCTACACTAATTCTTTTAAAACAAATTGATTTGAAAACAAAACTTTTAATGTAGTTGTTGAAGATTCTGTAACACACAAGACACATACCGTAACATGTATGTTGTTCTTCTTGCAAGCCTCCAACATCTTGTCATTCCTCCAACCGGGGTGCATCTCCATTTGGCAAACCGAAGGCTTTATATGTGCAATCTTCAACAGCTTCTCCAGCTTCTTCACTGTGAAATTGCACACCCTGTTGGGCGGTGCTCCTTGGACCACACGGCAAGAAGGAGAGCAAATCCCATTCTAAGTGGGATTGCTCTTGATTTGTTTCCTTGTTCATATTTAGTGATTTGTTTCCTTGTAGGAATAGAATTCCTTTTGTGTTTTGGTCTTTATCCTCTCCTATAAATAAAGGAGAAACTCCTTGTACTTAGCAGAACAATTCAATATACAGAATATTTTCCCTCTTATTATTTTCTTCAT